CTCACCTGCTCTGCCGCACCACTCACCTGCTCTGCCGCACCACTCACCTGCTCTGCCGCACCACTCACCTGCTCTGCCGCACCACTCACCTGCTCTGCCGCACCACTCACCTGCTCTGCCGCACCACTCACCTGCTCTGCCGCACCACTCACCTGCTCTGCCGCACACTCACCTGCTCTGCCGCACCACTCACCTGCTCTGCCGCACCACTCACCTGCTCTGCCGCACCACTCACCTGCTCTGCCGCACCACTCACCTGCTCTGCTGCACCACTCACCTGCTCTGCCGCACCACTCACCTGCTCTGCCGCACCACTCACCTGCTCTGCCGCACCACTCACCTGCTCTGCCGCACCACTCACCTGCTCTGCTGCACCACTCACCTGCTCTGCTGCACCACTCACCTGCTCTGCTGCACCACTCACTGCTCTGCCGCACCACTCACCTGCTCTGCTGCACCACTCACCTGCTCTGCCGCACCACTCACCTGCTCTGCTGCACCACTCACCTGCTCTGCTGCACCACTCACCTGCTCTGCTGCACCACTCACCTGCTCTGCTGCACCACTCACCTGCTCTGCCGCACCACTCACCTGCTCTGCCGCACCACTCACCTGCTCTGCTGCACCACTCACCTGCTCTGCTGCACCACTCACCTGCTCTGCTGCACCACTCACCTGCTCTGCTGCACCACTCACCTTCTCTGCCGCACCACTCACCTGCTCTGCTGCACCACTCACCTGCTCTGCTGCACCACTCACCTGCTCTGCTGCACCACTCACCTGCTCTGCCTGCACCACTCACCTGCTCTGCCGCACCACTCACCTGCTCTGCCGCACCACTCACCTGCTCTGCCGCACCACTCACCTGCTCTGCCGCACCACTCACCTGCTCTGCTGCACCACTCACCTGCTCTGCTGCACCACTCACCTGCTCTGCCTGCACCACTCACCTGCTCTGCCGCACCACTCACCTGCTCTGCTGCACCACTCACCTGCTCTGCCGCACCACTCACCTGCTCTGCTGCACCACTCACCTGCTCTGCTGCACCACTCACCTGCTCTGCTGCACCACTCACCTGCTCTGCCGCACCACTCACCTGCTCTGCTGCACCACTCACCTGCTCTGCTGCACCACTCACCTGCTCTGCTGCACCACTCACCTGCTCTGCTGCACCACTCACCTGCTCTGCTGCACCACTCACCTGCTCTGCTGCACCACTCACCTGCTCTGCTGCACCACTCACCTGCTCTGCTGCACCACTCACCTGCTCTGCTGCACCACTCACCTGCTCTGCTGCACCACCTGCTCTGCCGCACCACTCACCTGCTCTGCCGCACCACTCACCTGCTCTGCTGCACCACTCACCTGCTCTGCTGCACCACTCAACTGCTCTGCTGCACCACTCACCTGCTCTGCCGCACCACTCACCTGCTCTGCTGCACCACTCACCTGCTCTGCTGCACCACTCACCTGCTCTGCTGCACCACTCACCTGCTCTGCTGCACCACTCACCTGCTCTGCTGCACCACTCACCTGCTCTGCTGCACCACTCACCTGCTCTGCTGCACCACTCACCTGCTCTGCTGCACCACTCACCTGCTCTGCTGCACCACTCACCTGCTCTGCCGCACCACTCACCTGCTCTGCCGCACCACTCACCTGCTCTGCTGCACCACTCACCTGCTCTGCTGCACCACTCACCTGCTCTGCCGCACCACTCACCTGCTCTGCCGCACCACTCACCTGCTCTGTTGCACCACTCACCTGCTCTGCCGCACCACTCACCTGCTCTGCCGCACCACTCACCTGCTCTGCCGCACCACTCACCTGCTCTGCTGCACCACTCACCTGCTCTGCTGCACCACTCACCTGCTCTGCTGCACCACTCACCTGCTCTGCTGCACCACTCACCTGCTCTGCTGCACCACTCACCTGCTCTGCTGCACCACTCACCTGCTCTGTCGCACCACTCACCTGCTCTGCTGCACCACTCACCTGCTCTGCTGCACCACTCACCTGCTCTGCTGCACCACTCACCTGCTCTGCCGCACCACTCACCTGCTCTGCTGCACCACTCACCTGCTCTGCTGCACCACTCACCTGCTCTGCTGCACCACTCACCTGCTCTTCTGCACCACTCACCTGCTCTGCCGCACCACTCACCTGCTCTGCCGCACCACTCACCTGCTCTGCCGCACCACTCACCTGCTCTGCCGCACCACTCACCTGCTCTGCCGCACCACTCACCTGCTCTGCCGCACCACTCACCTGCTCTGCCGCACCACTCACCTGCTCTGCTGCACCACTCACCTGCTCTGCCGCACCACTCACCTGCTCTGCCGCACCACTCACCTGCTCTGCCGCACCACTCACCTGCTCTGCCGCACCACTCACCTGCTCTGCTGCACCACTCACCTGCTCTGCTGCACCACTCACCTGCTCTGCTGCACCACTCACCTGCTCTGCCGCACCACTCACCTGCTCTGCTGCACCACTCACCTGCTCTGCCGCACCACTCACCTGCTCTGCTGCACCACTCACCTGCTCTGCTGCACCACTCACCTGCTCTGCTGCACCACTCACCTGCTCTGCTGCACCACTCACCTGCTCTGCCGCACCACTCACCTGCTCTGCCGCACCACTCACCTGCTCTGCTGCACCACTCACCTGCTCTGCTGCACCACTCACCTGCTCTGCTGCACCACTCACCTGCTCTGCTGCACCACTCACCTTCTCTGCCGCACCACTCACCTGCTCTGCTGCACCACTCACCTGCTCTGCTGCACCACTCACCTGCTCTGCTGCACCACTCACCTGCTCTGCCGCACCACTCACCTGCTCTGCCGCACCACTCACCTGCTCTGCCGCACCACTCACCTGCTCTGCCGCACCACTCACCTGCTCTGCCGCACCACTCACCTGCTCTGCTGCACCACTCACCTGCTCTGCTGCACCACTCACCTGCTCTGCCGCACCACTCACCTGCTCTGCTGCACCACTCACCTGCTCTGCCGCACCACTCACCTGCTCTGCTGCACCACTCACCTGCTCTGCTGCACCACTCACCTGCTCTGCTGCACCACTCACCTGCTCTGCTGCACCACTCACCTGCTCTGCCGCACCACTCACCTGCTCTGCCGCACCACTCACCTGCTCTGCTGCACCACTCACCTGCTCTGCTGCACCACTCACCTGCTCTGCTGCACCACTCACCTGCTCTGCTGCACCACTCACCTGCTCTGCTGCACCACTCACCTGCTCTGCTGCACCACTCACCTGCTCTGCTGCACCACTCACCTGCTCTGCTGCACCACTCACCTGCTCTGCTGCACCACTCACCTGCTCTGCTGCACCACCTGCTCTGCCGCACCACTCACCTGCTCTGCCGCACCACTCACCTGCTCTGCTGCACCACTCACCTGCTCTGCTGCACCACTCACCTGCTCTGCTGCACCACTCACCTGCTCTGCCGCACCACTCACCTGCTCTGCTGCACCACTCACCTGCTCTGCTGCACCACTCACCTGCTCTGCTGCACCACTCACCTGCTCTGCTGCACCACTCACCTGCTCTGCTGCACCACTCACCTGCTCTGCTGCACCACTCACCTGCTCTGCTGCACCACTCACCTGCTCTGCTGCACCACTCACCTGCTCTGCTGCACCACTCACCTGCTCTGCCGCACCACTCACCTGCTCTGCCGCACCACTCACCTGCTCTGCTGCACCACTCACCTGCTCTGCTGCACCACTCACCTGCTCTGCCGCACCACTCACCTGCTCTGCCGCACCACTCACCTGCTCTGTTGCACCACTCACCTGCTCTGCCGCACCACTCACCTGCTCTGCTGCACCACTCACCTGCTCTGCTGCACCACTCACCTGCTCTGCCGCACCACTCACCTGCTCTGCTGCACCACTCACCTGCTCTGCCGCACCACTCACCTGCTCTGCCGCACCACTCACCTGCTCTGCTGCACCACTCACCTGCTCTGCTGCACCACTCACCTGCTCTGCTGCACCACTCACCTGCTCTGCTGCACCACTCACCTGCTCTGCTGCACCACTCACCTGCTCTGCTGCACCACTCACCTGCTCTGTCGCACCACTCACCTGCTCTGCTGCACCACTCACCTGCTCTGCTGCACCACTCACCTGCTCTGCTGCACCACTCACCTGCTCTGCCGCACCACTCACCTGCTCTGCTGCACCACTCACCTGCTCTGCTGCACCACTCACCTGCTCTGCTGCACCACTCACCTGCTCTTCTGCACCACTCACCTGCTCTGCCGCACCACTCACCTGCTCTGCCGCACCACTCACCTGCTCTGCTGCACCACTCACCTGCTCTGCTGCACCACTCACCTGCTCTGCTGCACCACTCACCTGCTCTGCTGCACCACTCACCTGCTCTGCCGCACCACTCATCTGCTCTGCCGCACCACTCACCTGCTCTGCTGCACCACTCACCTGCTCTGCTGCACCACTCACCTGCTCTGCCGCACCACTCACACTGCTCTGCTGCACCACTCACCTGCTCTGCCGCACCACTCACCTGCTCTGCCGCACCACTCACCTGCTCTGCCGCACCACTCACCTGCTCTGCCGCACCACTCACCTGCTCTGCCGCACCACTCACCTGCTCTGCCGCACCACTCACCTGCTCTGCCGCACCACTCACCTGCTCTGCCGCACCACTCACCTGCTCTGCCGCACCACTCACCTGCTCTGCCGCACCACTCACCTGCTCTGCCGCACCACTCACCTGCTCTGCCGCACCACTCACCTGCTCTGCCGCACCACTCACCTGCTCTGCCGCACCACTCACCTGCTCTGCCGCACCACTCACCTGCTCTGCCGCACCACTCACCTGCTCTGCCGCACCACTCACCTGCTCTGCCGCACCACTCACCTGCTCTGCCGCACCACTCACCTGCTCTGCCGCACCACTCACCTGCTCTGCCGCACCACTCACCTGCTCTGCCGCACCACTCACCTGCTCATGCCGCACCACTCACCTGCTCTGCCGCACCACTCACCTGCTCTGCCGCACCACTCACCTGCTCTGCCGCACCACTCACCTGCTCTGCCGCACCACTCACCTGCTCTGCCGCACCACTCACCTGCTCTGCCGCACCACTCACCTGCTCTGCCGCACCACTCACCTGCTCTGCTGCACCACTCACCTGCTCTGCCGCACCACTCACCTGCTCTGCCGCACCACTCACCTGCTCTGCCGCACCACTCACCTGCTCTGCCGCACCACTCACCTGCTCTGCTGCACCACTCACCTGCTCTGCTGCACCACTCACCTGCTCTGCTGCACCACTCACCTGCTCTGCCGCACCACTCACCTGCTCTGCTGCACCACTCACCTGCTCTGCCGCACCACTCACCTGCTCTGCTGCACCACTCACCTGCTCTGCTGCACCACTCACCTGCTCTGCTGCACCACTCACCTGCTCTGCTGCACCACTCACCTGCTCTGCCGCACCACTCACCTGCTCTGCCGCACCACTCACCTGCTCTGCTGCACCACTCACCTGCTCTGCTGCACCACTCACCTGCTCTGCTGCACCACTCACCTGCTCTGCTGCACCACTCACCTTCTCTGCCGCACCACTCACCTGCTCTGCTGCACCACTCACCTGCTCTGCTGCACCACTCACCTGCTCTGCTGCACCACTCACCTGCTCTGCCGCACCACTCACCTGCTCTGCCGCACCACTCACCTGCTCTGCCGCACCACTCACCTTCTCTGCCGCACCACTCACCTGCTCTGCCGCACCACTCACCTGCTCTGCTGCACCACTCACCTGCTCTGCTGCACCACTCACCTGCTCTGCCGCACCACTCACCTGCTCTGCTGCACCACTCACCTGCTCTGCCGCACCACTCACCTGCTCTGCCGCACCACTCACCTGCTCTGCTGCACCACTCACCTGCTCTGCTGCACCACTCACCTGCTCTGCCGCACCACTCACCTGCTCTGCTGCACCACTCACCTGCTCTGCTGCACCACTCACCTGCTCTGCTGCACCACTCACCTGCTCTGCCGCACCACTCACCTGCTCTGCTGCACCACTCACCTGCTCTGCTGCACCACTCACCTGCTCTGCTGCACCACTCATCTGCTCTGCTGCACCACTCACCTGCTCTGCTGCACCACTCACCTGCTCTGCTGCACCACTCACCTGCTCTGCTGCACCACTCACCTGCTCTGCTGCACCACTCACCTGCTCTGCCGCACCACTCACCTGCTCTGCCGCACCACTCACCTGCTCTGCTGCACCACTCACCTGCTCTGCTGCACCACTCACCTGCTCTGCCGCACCACTCACCTGCTCTGCCGCACCACTCACCTGCTCTGCCGCACCACTCACCTGCTCTGCTGCACCACTCACCTGCTCTGCTGCACCACTCACCTGCTCTGCTGCACCACTCACCTGCTCTGCTGCACCACTCACCTGCTCTGCCGCACCACTCACCTGCTCTGCCGCACCACTCACCTGCTCTGCCGCACCACTCACCTGCTCTGCCGCACCACTCACCTGCTCTGCTGCACCACTCACCTGCTCTGCTGCACCACTCACCTGCTCTGCTGCACCACTCACCTGCTCTGCCGCACCACTCACCTGCTCTGCTGCACCACTCACCTGCTCTGCCGCACCACTCACCTGCTCTGCTGCACCACTCACCTGCTCTGCTGCACCACTCACCTGCTCTGCTGCACCACTCACCTGCTCTGCTGCACCACTCACCTGCTCTGCTGCACCACTCACCTGCTCTGCCGCACCACTCACCTGCTCTGCTGCACCACTCACCTGCTCTGCTGCACCACTCACCTGCTCTGCTGCACCACTCACCTGCTCTGCTGCACCACTCACCTGCTCTGCCGCACCACTCACCTGCTCTGCTGCACCACTCACCTGCTCTGCTGCACCACTCACCTGCTCTGCTGCACCACTCACCTGCTCTGCTGCACCACTCACCTGCTCTGCCGCACCACTCACCTGCTCTGCCGCACCACTCACCTGCTCTGCTGCACCACTCACCTGCTCTGCTGCACCACTCACCTGCTCTGCTGCACCACTCACCTGCTCTGCTGCACCACTCACCTGCTCTGCCGCACCACTCACCTGCTCTGCCGCACCACTCACCTGCTCTGCCGCACCACTCACCTGCTCTGCCGCACCACTCACCTGCTCTGCTGCACCACTCACCTGCTCTGCTGCACCACTCACCTGATCTGCCGCACCACTCACCTGCTCTGCTGCACCACTCACCTGCTCTGCTGCACCACTCACCTGCTCTGCTGCACCACTCACCTGCTCTGCTGCACCACTCACCTGCTCTGCCGCACCACTCACCTGCTCTGCTGCACCACTCACCTGCTCTGCTGCACCACTCACCTGCTCTGCTGCACCACTCACCTGCTCTGCTGCACCACTCACCTGCTCTGCCGCACCACTCACCTGCTCTGCTGCACCACTCACCTGCTCTGCTGCACCACTCACCTGCTCTGCCGCACCACTCACCTGCTCTGCTGCACCACTCACCTGCTCTGCTGCACCACTCACCTGCTCTGCTGCACCACTCACCTGCTCTGCTGCACCACTCACCTGCTCTGCCGCACCACTCACCTGCTCTGCTGCACCACTCACCTGCTCTGCTGCACCACTCACCTGCTCTGCTGCACCACTCACCTGCTCTGCCGCACCACTCACCTGCTCTGCCGCACCACTCACCTGCTCTGCTGCACCACTCACCTGCTCTGCCGCACCACTCACCTGCTCTGCCGCACCACTCACCTGCTCTGCTGCACCACTCACCTGCTCTGCTGCACCACTCACCTGCTCTGCTGCACCACTCACCTGCTCTGCTGCACCACTCACCTGCTCTGCTGCACTACTCACCTGCTCTGCCGCACCACTCACCTGCTCTGCCGCACCACTCACCTGCTCTGCTGCACCACTCACCTGCTCTGCTGCACCACTCACCTGCTGTGCTGCACCACTCACCTGCTCTGCCGCACCACTCACCTGCTCTGCCGCACCACTCACCTGCTCTGCCGCACCACTCACCTGCTCTGCCGCACCACTCACCTGCTCTGCCGCTCCACTCACCTGCTCTGCTGCACCACTCACCTGCTCTGCTGCACCAGTCACCTGCTCTGCCGCACCACTCACCTGCTCTGCTGCACCACTCACCTGCTCTGCTGCACCACTCACCTGCTCTGCTGCACCACTCACCTGCTCTGCTGCACCAGTCACCTGCTCTGCTGCACCACTCACCTGCTCTGCTGCACCACTCACCTGCTCTGCCGCACCACTCACCTGCTCTGCTGCACCACTCACCTGCTCTGCTGCACCACTCACCTGCTCTGCTGCACCACTCACCTGCTCTGCCGCACCACTCACCTGCTCTGCCGCACCACTCACCTGCTCTGCCGCACCACTCACCTGCTCTGCCGCACCACTCACCTGCTCTGCCGCACCACTCACCTGCTCTGCCGCACCACTCACCTGCTCTGCCGCACCACTCACCTGCTCTGCTGCACCACTCACCTGCTCTGCTGCACCACTCACCTGCTCTGCTGCACCACTCACCTGCTCTGCCGCACCACTCACCTGCTCTGCTGCACCACTCACCTGCTCTGCCGCACCACTCACCTGCTCTGCTGCACCACTCACCTGCTCTGCTGCACCACTCACCTGCTCTGCTGCACCACTCACCTGCTCTGCTGCACCACTCACCTGCTCTGCCGCACCACTCACCTGCTCTGCCGCACCACTCACCTGCTCTGCTGCACCACTCACCTGCTCTGCTGCACCACTCACCTGCTCTGCCGCACCACTCACCTGCTCTGCCGCACCACTCACCTGCTCTGTTGCACCACTCACCTGCTCTGCCGCACCACTCACCTGCTCTGCCGCACCACTCACCTGCTCTGCCGCACCACTCACCTGCTCTGCTGCACCACTCACCTGCTCTGCTGCACCACTCACCTGCTCTGCTGCACCACTCACCTGCTCTGCTGCACCACTCACCTGCTCTGCTGCACCACTCACCTGCTCTGCTGCACCACTCACCTGCTCTGTCGCACCACTCACCTGCTCTGCTGCACCACTCACCTGCTCTGCTGCACCACTCACCTGCTCTGCTGCACCACTCACCTGCTCTGCCGCACCACTCACCTGCTCTGCTGCACCACTCACCTGCTCTGCTGCACCACTCACCTGCTCTGCTGCACCACTCACCTGCTCTTCTGCACCACTCACCTGCTCTGCCGCACCACTCACCTGCTCTGCCGCACCACTCACCTGCTCTGCTGCACCACTCACCTGCTCTGCTGCACCACTCACCTGCTCTGCTGCACCACTCACCTGCTCTGCTGCACCACTCACCTGCTCTGCCGCACCACTCATCTGCTCTGCCGCACCACTCACCTGCTCTGCTGCACCACTCACCTGCTCTGCTGCACCACTCACCTGCTCTGCCGCACCACTCACCTGCTCTGCTGCACCACTCACCTGCTCTGCCGCACCACTCACCTGCTCTGCCGCACCACTCACCTGCTCTGCCGCACCACTCACCTGCTCTGCCGCACCACTCACCTGCTCTGCCGCACCACTCACCTGCTCTGCCGCACCACTCACCTGCTCTGCCGCACCACTCACCTGCTCTGCCGCACCACTCACCTGCTCTACCGCACCACTCACCTGCTCTGCCGCACCACTCACCTGCTCTGCCGCACCACTCACCTGCTCTGCCGCACCACTCACCTGCTCTGCCGCACCAGCTCACCTGCTCTGCCGCACCACTCACCTGCTCTGCCGCACCACTCACCTGCTCTGCCGCACCACTCACCTGCTCTGCCGCACCACTCACCTGCTCTGCCTGCACCACTCACCTGCTCTGCCGCACCACTCACCTGCTCTGCCGCACCACTCACCTGCTCATGCCGCACCACTCACCTGCTCTGCCGCACCACTCACCTGCTCTGCCGCACCACTCACCTGCTCTGCCGCACCACTCACCTGCTCTGCCGCACCACTCACCTGCTCTGCCGCACCACTCACCTGCTCTGCCGCACCACTCACCTGCTCTGCCGCACCACTCACCTGCTCTGCTGCACCACTCACCTGCTCTGCCGCACCACTCACCTGCTCTGCCGCACCACTCACCTGCTCTGCCGCACCACTCACCTGCTCTGCCGCACCACTCACCTGCTCTGCTGCACCACTCACCTGCTCTGCTGCACCACTCACCTGCTCTGCTGCACCACTCACCTGCTCTGCCGCACCACTCACCTGCTCTGCTGCACCACTCACCTGCTCTGCCGCACCACTCACCTGCTCTGCTGCACCACTCACCTGCTCTGCTGCACCACTCACCTGCTCTGCTGCACCACTCACCTGCTCTGCTGCACCACTCACCTGCTCTGCCGCACCACTCACCTGCTCTGCCGCACCACTCACCTGCTCTGCTGCACCACTCACCTGCTCTGCTGCACCACTCACCTGCTCTGCTGCACCACTCACCTGCTCTGCTGCACCACTCACCTTCTCTGCCGCACCACTCACCTGCTCTGCTGCACCACTCACCTGCTCTGCTGCACCACTCACCTGCTCTGCTGCACCACTCACCTGCTCTGCCGCACCACTCACCTGCTCTGCCGCACCACTCACCTGCTCTGCCGCACCACTCACCTGCTCTGCCGCACCACTCACCTGCTCTGCCGCACCACTCACCTGCTCTGCTGCACCACTCACCTGCTCTGCTGCACCACTCACCTGCTCTGCCGCACCACTCACCTGCTCTGCTGCACCACTCACCTGCTCTGCCGCACCACTCACCTGCTCTGCCGCACCACTCACCTGCTCTGCTGCACCACTCACCTGCTCTGCTGCACCACTCACCTGCTCTGCCGCACCACTCACCTGCTCTGCCGCACCACTCACCTGCTCTGCTGCACCACTCACCTGCTCTGCTGCACCACTCACCTGCTCTGCTGCACCACTCACCTGCTCTGCTGCACCACTCACCTGCTCTGCTGCACCACTCACCTGCTCTGCTGCACCACTCACCTGCTCTGCTGCACCACTCACCTGCTCTGCTGCACCACTCACCTGCTCTGCTGCACCACTCACCTGCTCTGCTGCACCACTCACCTGCTCTGCTGCACCACCTGCTCTGCCGCACCACTCACCTGCTCTGCCGCACCACTCACCTGCTCTGCTGCACCACTCACCTGCTCTGCTGCACCACTCAACTGCTCTGCTGCACCACTCACCTGCTCTGCCGCACCACTCACCTGCTCTGCTGCACCACTCACCTGCTCTGCTGCACCACTCACCTGCTCTGCTGCACCACTCACCTGCTCTGCTGCACCACTCACCTGCTCTGCTGCACCACTCACCTGCTCTGCTGCACCACTCACCTGCTCTGCTGCACCACTCACCTGCTCTGCTGCACCACTCACCTGCTCTGCTGCACCACTCACCTGCTCTGCCGCACCACTCACCTGCTCTGCCGCACCACTCACCTGCTCTGCTGCACCACTCACCTGCTCTGCTGCACCACTCACCTGCTCTGCCGCACCACTCACCTGCTCTGCCGCACCACTCACCTGCTCTGTTGCACCACTCACCTGCTCTGCCGCACCACTCACCTGCTCTGCCGCACCACTCACCTGCTCTGCCGCACCACTCACCTGCTCTGCTGCACCACTCACCTGCTCTGCTGCACCACTCACCTGCTCTGCTGCACCACTCACCTGCTCTGCTGCACCACTCACCTGCTCTGCTGCACCACTCACCTGCTCTGCTGCACCACTCACCTGCTCTGTCGCACCACTCACCTGCTCTGCTGCACCACTCACCTGCTCTGCTGCACCACTCACCTGCTCTGCTGCACCACTCACCTGCTCTGCCGCACCACTCACCTGCTCTGCTGCACCACTCACCTGCTCTGCTGCACCACTCACCTGCTCTGCTGCACCACTCACCTGCTCTTCTGCACCACTCACCTGCTCTGCCGCACCACTCACCTGCTCTGCCGCACCACTCACCTGCTCTGCTGCACCACTCACCTGCTCTGCTGCACCACTCACCTGCTCTGCTGCACCACTCACCTGCTCTGCTGCACCACTCACCTGCTCTGCCGCACCACTCATCTGCTCTGCCGCACCACTCACCTGCTCTGCTGCACCACTCACCTGCTCTGCTGCACCACTCACCTGCTCTGCTGCACCACTCACCTGCTCTGCCGCACCACTCACCTGCTCTGCTGCACCACTCACCTGCTCTGCCGCACCACTCACCTGCTCTGCCGCACCACTCACCTGCTCTGCCGCACCACTCACCTGCTCTGCCGCACCACTCACCTGCTCTGCCGCACCACTCACCTGCTCTGCCGCACCACTCACCTGCTCTGCCGCACCACTCACCTGCTCTGCCGCACCACTCACCTGCTCTGCCGCACCACTCACCTGCTCTGCCGCACCACTCACCTGCTCTGCCGCACCACTCACCTGCTCTGCCGCACCACTCACCTGCTCTGCCGCACCACTCACCTGCTCTGCCGCACCACTCACCTGCTCTGCCGCACCACTCACCTGCTCTGCCGCACCACTCACCTGCTCTGCCGCACCGCTCACCTGCTCTGCCGCACCACTCACCTGCTCTGCCGCACCACTCACCTGCTCTGCCGCACCACTCACCTGCTCTGCTGCACCACTCACCTGCTCTGCTGCACCACTCACCTGCTCTGCCGCACCACTCACCTGCTCTGCTGCACCACTCACCTGCTCTGCCGCACCACTCACCTGCTCTGCCGCACCACTCACCTGCTCTGCTGCACCACTCACCTGCTCTGCTGCACCACTCACCTGCTCTGCCGCACCACTCACCTGCTCTGCCGCACCACTCACCTGCTCTGCTGCACCACTCACCTGCTCTGCTGCACCACTCACCTGCTCTGCTGCACCACTCACCTGCTCTGCTGCACCACTCACCTGCTCTGCTGCACCACTCACCTGCTCTGCTGCACCACTCACCTGCTCTGCTGCACCACTCACCTGCTCTGCTGCACCACTCACCTGCTCTGCTGCACCACTCACCTGCTCTGCTGCACCACTCACCTGCTCTGCTGCACCACCTGCTCTGCCGCACCACTCACCTGCTCTGCCGCACCACTCACCTGCTCTGCTGCACCACTCACCTGCTCTGCTGCACCACTCACCTGCTCTGCTGCACCACTCACCTGCTCTGCCGCACCACTCACCTGCTCTGCTGCACCACTCACCTGCTCTGCTGCACCACTCACCTGCTCTGCTGCACCACTCACCTGCTCTGCTGCACCACTCACCTGCTCTGCTGCACCACTCACCTGCTCTGCTGCACCACTCACCTGCTCTGCTGCACCACTCACCTGCTCTGCTGCACCACTCACCTGCTCTGCTGCACCACTCACCTGCTCTGCCGCACCACTCACCTGCTCTGCCGCACCACTCACCTGCTCTGCTGCACCACTCACCTGCTCTGCTGCACCACTCACCTGCTCTGCCGCACCACTCACCTGCTCTGCCGCACCACTCACCTGCTCTGTTGCACCACTCACCTGCTCTGCCGCACCACTCACCTGCTCTGCTGCACCACTCACCTGCTCTGCTGCACCACTCACCTGCTCTGCCGCACCACTCACCTGCTCTGCTGCACCACTCACCTGCTCTGCCGCACCACTCACCTGCTCTGCCGCACCACTCACCTGCTCTGCTGCACCACTCACCTGCTCTGCTGCACCACTCACCTGCTCTGCTGCACCACTCACCTGCTCTGCTGCACCACTCACCTGCTCTGCTGCACCACTCACCTGCTCTGCTGCACCACTCACCTGCTCTGTCGCACCACTCACCTGCTCTGCTGCACCACTCACCTGCTCTGCTGCACCACTCACCTGCTCTGCTGCACCACTCACCTGCTCTGCCGCACCACTCACCTGCTCTGCTGCACCACTCACCTGCTCTGCTGCACCACTCACCTGCTCTGCTGCACCACTCACCTGCTCTTCTGCACCACTCACCTGCTCTGCCGCACCACTCACCTGCTCTGCCGCACCACTCACCTGCTCTGCTGCACCACTCACCTGCTCTGCTGCACCACTCACCTGCTCTGCTGCACCACTCACCTGCTCTGCTGCACCACTCACCTGCTCTGCCGCACCACTCATCTGCTCTGCCGCACCACTCACCTGCTCTGCTGCACCACTCACCTGCTCTGCTGCACCACTCACCTGCTCTGCCGCACCACTCACCTGCTCTGCTGCACCACTCACCTGCTCTGCCGCACCACTCACCTGCTCTGCCGCACCACTCACCTGCTCTGCCGCACCACTCACCTGCTCTGCCGCACCACTCACCTGCTCTGCCGCACCACTCACCTGCTCTGCCGCACCACTCACCTGCTCTGCCGCACCACTCACCTGCTCTGCCGCACCACTCACCTGCTCTGCCGCACCACTCACCTGCTCTGCCGCACCACTCACCTGCTCTGCCGCACCACTCACCTGCTCTGCCGCACCACTCACCTGCTCTGCCGCACCACTCACCTGCTCTGCCGCACCACTCACCTGCTCTGCCGCACCACTCACCTGCTCTGCCGCACCACTCACCTGCTCTGCCGCACCGCTCACCTGCTCTGCCGCACCACTCACCTGCTCTGCCGCACCACTCACCTGCTCTGCCGCACCACTCACCTGCTCTGCCGCACCACTCACCTGCTCTGCTGCACCACTCACCTGCTCTGCCGCACCACTCACCTGCTCTGCCGCACCACTCACCTGCTCAGCCGCACCACTCACCTGCTCTGCCGCACCACTCACCTGCTCTGCCGCACCACTCACCTGCTCTGCCGCACCACTCACCTGCTCTGCCGCACCACTCACCTGCTCTGCCGCACCACTCACCTGCTCTGCCGCACCACTCACCTGCTCTGCCGCACCACTCACCTGCTCTGCTGCACCACTCACCTGCTCTGCCGCACCACTCACCTGCTCTGCCGCACCACTCACCTGCTCTGCCGCACCACTCACCTGCTCTGCCGCACCACTCACCTGCTCTGCTGCACCACTCACCTGCTCTGCTGCACCACTCACCTGCTCTGCTGCACCACTCACCTGCTCTGCCGCACCACTCACCTGCTCTGCTGCACCACTCACCTGCTCTGCCGCACCACTCACCTGCTCTGCTGCACCACTCACCTGCTCTGCTGCACCACTCACCTGCTCTGCTGCACCACTCACCTGCTCTGCTGCACCACTCACCTGCTCTGCCGCACCACTCACCTGCTCTGCCGCACCACTCACCTGCTCTGCTGCACCACTCACCTGCTCTGCTGCACCACTCACCTGCTCTGCTGCACCACTCACCTGCTCTGCTGCACCACTCACCTTCTCTGCCGCACCACTCACCTGCTCTGCTGCACCACTCACCTGCTCTGCTGCACCACTCACCTGCTCTGCTGCACCACTCACCTGCTCTGCCGCACCACTCACCTGCTCTGCCGCACCACTCACCTGCTCTGCCGCACCACTCACCTGCTCTGCCGCACCACTCACCTGCTCTGCCGCACCACTCACCTGCTCTGCTGCACCACTCACCTGCTCTGCTGCACCACTCACCTGCTCTGCCGCACCACTCACCTGCTCTGCTGCACCACTCACCTGCTCTGCCGCACCACTCACCTGCTCTGCCGCACCACTCACCTGCTCTGCTGCACCACTCACCTGCTCTGCTGCACCACTCACCTGCTCTGCCGCACCACTCACCTGCTCTGCTGCACCACTCACCTGCTCTGCTGCACCACTCACCTGCTCTGCTGCACCACTCACCTGCTCTGCCGCACCACTCACCTGCTCTGCTGCACCACTCACCTGCTCTGCTGCACCACTCACCTGCTCTGCTGCACCACTCATCTGCTCTGCTGCACCACTCACCTGCTCTGCTGCACCACTCACCTGCTCTGCTGCACCACTCACCTGCTCTGCTGCACCACTCACCTGCTCTGCTGCACCACTCACCTGCTCTGCCGCACCACTCACCTGCTCTGCCGCACCACTCACCTGCTCTGCTGCACCACTCACCTGCTCTGCTGCACCACTCACCTGCTCTGCCGCACCACTCACCTGCTCTGCCGCACCACTCACCTGCTCTGCCGCACCACTCACCTGCTCTGCTGCACCACTCACCTGCTCTGCTGCACCACTCACCTGCTCTGCTGCACCACTCACCTGCTCTGCTGCACCACTCACCTGCTCTGCCGCACCACTCACCTGCTCTGCCGCACCACTCACCTGCTCTGCCGCACCACTCACCTGCTCTGCCGCACCACTCACCTGCTCTGCTGCACCACTCACCTGCTCTGCTGCACCACTCACCTGCTCTGCTGCACCACTCACCTGCTCTGCCGCACCACTCACCTGCTCTGCTGCACCACTCACCTGCTCTGCCGCACCACTCACCTGCTCTGCTGCACCACTCACCTGCTCTGCTGCACCACTCACCTGCTCTGCTGCACCACTCACCTGCTCTGCTGCACCACTCACCTGCTCTGCTGCACCACTCACCTGCTCTGCCGCACCACTCACCTGCTCTGCTGCACCACTCACCTGCTCTGCTGCACCACTCACCTGCTCTGCTGCACCACTCACCTGCTCTGCTGCACCACTCACCTGCTCTGCCGCACCACTCACCTGCTCTGCTGCACCACTCACCTGCTCTGCTGCACCACTCACCTGCTCTGCTGCACCACTCACCTGCTCTGCTGCACCACTCACCTGCTCTGCCGCACCACTCACCTGCTCTGCCGCACCACTCACCTGCTCTGCTGCACCACTCACCTGCTCTGCTGCACCACTCACCTGCTCTGCTGCACCACTCACCTGCTCTGCCGCACCACTCACCTGCTCTGCCGCACCACTCACCTGCTCTGCCGCACCACTCACCTGCTCTGCCGCACCACTCACCTGCTCTGCCGCACCACTCACCTGCTCTGCTGCACCACTCACCTGCTCTGCTGCACCACTCACCTGATCTGCCGCACCACTCACCTGCTCTGCTGCACCACTCACCTGCTCTGCTGCACCACTCACCTGCTCTGCTGCACCACTCACCTGCTCTGCTGCACCACTCACCTGCTCTGCCGCACCACTCACCTGCTCTGCTGCACCACTCACCTGCTCTGCTGCACCACTCACCTGCTCTGCTGCACCACTCACCTGCTCTGCTGCACCACTCACCTGCTCTGCCGCACCACTCACCTGCTCTGCTGCACCACTCACCTGCTCTGCTGCACCACTCACCTGCTCTGCCGCACCACTCACCTGCTCTGCTGCACCACTCACCTGCTCTGCTGCACCACTCACCTGCTCTGCTGCACCACTCACCTGCTCTGCTGCACCACTCACCTGCTCTGCCGCACCACTCACCTGCTCTGCTGCACCACTCACCTGCTCTGCTGCACCACTCACCTGCTCTGCTGCACCACTCACCTGCTCTGCCGCACCACTCACCTGCTCTGCCGCACCACTCACCTGCTCTGCTGCACCACTCACCTGCTCTGCCGCACCACTCACCTGCTCTGCCGCACCACTCACCTGCTCTGCTGCACCACTCACCTGCTCTGCTGCACCACTCACCTGCTCTGCTGCACCACTCACCTGCTCTGCTGCACCACTCACCTGCTCTGCTGCACTACTCACCTGCTCTGCCGCACCACTCACCTGCTCTGCCGCACCACTCACCTGCTCTGCTGCACCACTCACCTGCTCTGCTGCACCACTCACCTGCTGTGCTGCACCACTCACCTGCTCTGCCGCACCACTCACCTGCTCTGCCGCACCACTCACCTGCTCTGCCGCACCACTCACCTGCTCTGCCGCACCACTACACCTGCTCTGCCGCTCCACTCACCTGCTCTGCTGCACCACTCACCTGCTCTGCTGCACCAGTCACCTGCTCTGCCGCACCACTCACCTGCTCTGCTGCACCACTCACCTGCTCTGCTGCACCACTCACCTGCTCTGCTGCACCACTCACCTGCTCTGCTGCACCAGTCACCTGCTCTGCTGCACCACTCACCTGCTCTGCTGCACCACTCACCTGCTCTGCCGCACCACTCACCTGCTCTGCTGCACCACTCACCTGCTCTGCTGCACCACTCACCTGCTCTGCTGCACCACTCACCTGCTCTGCCGCACCACTCACCTGCTCTGCCGCACCACTCACCTGCTCTGCCGCACCACTCACCTGCTCTGCCGCACCACTCACCTGCTCTGCCGCACCACTCACCTGCTCTGCTGCACCACTCACCTGCTCTGCCGCACCACTCACCTGCTCTGCTGCACCACTCACCTGCTCTGCTGCACCACTCACCTGCTCTGCTGCACCACTCACCTGCTCTGCCGCACCACTCACCTGCTCTGCTGCACCACTCACCTGCTCTGCTGCACCACTCACCTGCTCTGCTGCACCACTCATCTGCTCTGCTGCACCACTCACCTGCTCTGCTGCACCACTCACCTGCTCTGCTGCACCACTCACCTGCTCTGCTGCACCACTCACCTGCTCTGCTGCACCACTCACCTGCTCTGCCGCACCACTCACCTGCTCTGCCGCACCACTCACCTGCTCTGCTGCACCACTCACCTGCTCTGCTGCACCACTCACCTGCTCTGCCGCACCACTCACCTGCTCTGCCGCACCACTCACCTGCTCTGCCGCACCACTCACCTGCTCTGCTGCACCACTCACCTGCTCTGCTGCACCACTCACCTGCTCTGCTGCACCACTCACCTGCTCTGCTGCACCACTCACCTGCTCTGCCGCACCACTCACCTGCTCTGCCGCACCACTCACCTGCTCTGCCGCACCACTCACCTGCTCTGCCGCACCACTCACCTGCTCTGCTGCACCACTCACCTGCTCTGCTGCACCACTCACCTGCTCTGCTGCACCACTCACCTGCTCTGCCGCACCACTCACCTGCTCTGCTGCACCACTCACCTGCTCTGCCGCACCACTCACCTGCTCTGCTGCACCACTCACCTGCTCTGCTGCACCACTCACCTGCTCTGCTGCACCACTCACCTGCTCTGCTGCACCACTCACCTGCTCTGCTGCACCACTCACCTGCTCTGCCGCACCACTCACCTGCTCTGCTGCACCACTCACCTGCTCTGCTGCACCACTCACCTGCTCTGCTGCACCACTCACCTGCTCTGCTGCACCACTCACCTGCTCTGCCGCACCACTCACCTGCTCTGCTGCACCACTCACCTGCTCTGCTGCACCACTCACCTGCTCTGCTGCACCACTCACCTGCTCTGCTGCACCACTCACCTGCTCTGCCGCACCACTCACCTGCTCTGCCGCACCACTCACCTGCTCTGCTGCACCACTCACCTGCTCTGCTGCACCACTCACCTGCTCTGCTGCACCACTCACCTGCTCTGCCGCACCACTCACCTGCTCTGCCGCACCACTCACCTGCTCTGCCGCACCACTCACCTGCTCTGCCGCACCACTCACCTGCTCTGCCGCACCACTCACCTGCTCTGCTGCACCACTCACCTGCTCTGCTGCACCACTCACCTGATCTGCCGCACCACTCACCTGCTCTGCTGCACCACTCACCTGCTCTGCTGCACCACTCACCTGCTCTGCTGCACCACTCACCTGCTCTGCTGCACCACTCACCTGCTCTGCCGCACCACTCACCTGCTCTGCTGCACCACTCACCTGCTCTGCTGCACCACTCACCTGCTCTGCTGCACCACTCACCTGCTCTGCTGCACCACTCACCTGCTCTGCCGCACCACTCACCTGCTCTGCTGCACCACTCACCTGCTCTGCTGCACCACTCACCTGCTCTGCCGCACCACTCACCTGCTCTGCTGCACCACTCACCTGCTCTGCTGCACCACTCACCTGCTCTGCTGCACCACTCACCTGCTCTGCTGCACCACTCACCTGCTCTGCCGCACCACTCACCTGCTCTGCTGCACCACTCACCTGCTCTGCTGCACCACTCACCTGCTCTGCTGCACCACTCACCTGCTCTGCCGCACCACTCACCTGCTCTGCCGCACCACTCACCTGCTCTGCTGCACCACTCACCTGCTCTGCCGCACCACTCACCTGCTCTGCCGCACCACTCACCTGCTCTGCTGCACCACTCACCTGCTCTGCTGCACCACTCACCTGCTCTGCTGCACCACTCACCTGCTCTGCTGCACCACTCACCTGCTCTGCTGCACTACTCACCTGCTCTGCCGCACCACTCACCTGCTCTGCCGCACCACTCACCTGCTCTGCTGCACCACTCACCTGCTCTGCTGCACCACTCACCTGCTGTGCTGCACCACTCACCTGCTCTGCCGCACCACTCACCTGCTCTGCCGCACCACTCACCTGCTCTGCCGCACCACTCACCTGCTCTGCCGCACCACTCACCTGCTCTGCCGCTCCACTCACCTGCTCTGCTGCACCACTCACCTGCTCTGCTGCACCAGTCACCTGCTCTGCGCACCCCCTGCTCTGCTGCACCACTCACCTGCTCTGCTGCACCACTCACCTGCTCTGCTGCACCACTCACCTGCTCTGCTGCACCACTCACCTGCTCTGCTGCACCACTCACCTGCTCTGCTGCACCACTCACCTGCTCTGCCGCACCACTCACCTGCTCTGCTGCACCACTCACCTGCTCTGCTGCACCACTCACCTGCTCTGCTGCACCACTCACCTGCTCTGCCGCACCACTCACCTGCTCTGCCGCACCACTCACCTGCTCTGCCGCACCACTCACCTGCTCTGCCGCACCACTCACCTGCTCTGCCGCACCACTCACCTGCTCTGCTGCACCACTCACCTGCTCTGCCGCACCACTCACCTGCTCTGCCGCACCACTCACCTGCTCTGCCGCACCACTCACCTGCTCTGCCGCACCACTCACCTGCTCTGCTGCACCACTCACCTGCTCTGCTGCACCACTCACCTGCTCTGCCGCACCACTCACCTGCTCTGCCGCACCACTCACCTGCTCTGCTGCACCACTCACCTGCTCTGCCGCACCACTCACCTGCTCTGCTGCACCACTCACCTGCTCTGCCGCACCACGCACCTGCTCTGCCGCACCACTCACCTGCTCTGCCGCACCACTCACCGACTCTGCCGCACCACTCACCTGCTCTGCCGCACCACTCACCTGCTCTGCCGCACCACTCACCTGCTCTGCCGCACCACTCACCTGCTCTGCCGCACCACTCACCTGCTCTGCCGCACCACTCACCTGCTCTGCCGCACCACTCACCTGCTCTGCCGCACCACTCACCTGCTCTGCTACACCACTCACCTGCTCTGCCGCACCACTCACCTGCTCTGCCGCACCACTCACCTGCTCTGCCGCATCACTCACCTGCTCTGCCGCACCACTCACCTGCTCTGCCGCACCACTCACCTGCTCTGCTGCACCACTCACCTGCTCTCGGGCATCTCTGCACCCCCTAAACCTCCTTAACAACTGAGGCTCAACACCCTTTCTCTTCCTTGCACCTCCATCACTCCCTCTATGTCGCTCGCTGCCCTTCGTGTCTCTCTCTTTTTATCCCAGCCCAATGGTGGAAGTGAAGCTTGTCCCGGTCAGCATCCAACCAATCAATCTGTTGGCGTAACCACGGTGCTGAATGGCGAAAATCGGTCACACTTGACGATCAGTCGAGCAAGAGCGATTGTCCCCGGCGAGACGATATCAACGGCTCTCTTTGCGCGGGCAAAGAAAAAGGTCGCTCGTACGAGTGCGTACGCGTTGGTGCATGTACGGTTATGTACATATGCGTCGCGTACGAGTGTGTACGGTAGGTAGACGCACTACGTGCATGAAGGCATACGTACGCATGCATACGTATGTCTACGCGCGTCTAGGTTAAATAGGTCATGCATATACGCATGCAGATGCGCACGTTCCTTAATATTCAGCTCATTATTCCAGAGCTAATTTGTCATTGATTTGTTGACCTACATGCATAAGCTCCAGATTACACAAACATATTTGTCAACTTACATGTGCAGCTTGTAAATCAGCAAAATCTGTTCTGTTTACTGCCATGTGGAAAGCTGTAGTTTTGCAAGATACTGTTTTGCTGTTCTCGTTTTGGGCACAGCTGACGAGCGAAACCTATTCGCGCTGCGAATTTGTCACTGTAAATGCTGGCACATTCACTTTGGGTCGCGCTCGCTGTATCGGAGTGTCGGACTGCATATACGCAGGGCACCCAAACCGACTTTCCGACTTTGTCACTGCGCTGCGGACGTAGCACTGTGCAGAACGCTACTTCAGTACATCCACTTTGCACCACGAACCCACGTTCGTTCAGGGGGACCAAGCAAGCCAGAAAGTGCACGAAACGTGATGTGAGTGGGCTGGGCTCACAATCGCTCACCTAACTCCCACTCCCGTTTTTCAGACCTCGATTCTTATCATCCGCCACTCTATCTCAACTCAACATCCGAGCCTCTCTTCTAGATCGCCCTCCGCCATGGGGCATGGCATCACCATTTCGTAAGCCTGCTTTCTTAGTCGCAGTCACGCTATCGTAGTTTCGTTTTTCGTGATTTCGTTTGCTATTTTTTTTTTTTCCAGATCTCGTTTCAATCTCAAGCCATTCTACTCAAGAGCGCAGCCTCTCTTTTGGATCGCCATCCGCCATGGGCCATGGCATTAGTATTTCGTAAGCCCGCTTTCTTACTCACGCTATCTTCAGTCTTGTTTCCAGTAATTTCGTTTTCTTCGTAGATTCCCTCTTCTTAGCTCCGTTTGTTCCGATTTCTGCTTGTCCGTGTTCGTGCTGACGTGTGCATGGTCATGGCAGGCACGCTGCAGCCAGCACAAGCTCGTCATCTGCCGTTCCAGGAGCCAGCAGCAATGCGGCATTCCACATCCAAAATCTGCCACCAAACATGGCGATTTCCGTTTAGCTCCGCTTCAGGGCGCCGATGCCACGCCGCTGTCATGCCAATTGCCATGCCGCTGACACGCCAACGACAACGACGGCGCTGCTCATGGCGCTCTGGGGAACGTTGAGACATCCAGGCCACCCTCTCCCCTCCCCTTTCTGCCAGGTACCAGTGCAGCGCTTGCCCATTTGAGCATGTCTCACCCACCCCCTCCCCTCTTTCCCCACTTCCCCCCTTCTGCCAGGTGCCTTCCCATGCCCTGCATGGTGCCTTCTCATGCCCTGCCCGGTAAATTCTCATGCCCTGCATGGTGCCTTGGCATGCCCTGCCAGGTGCATTCGCATTCCCTGCATGGTGCCTTCTCATTTCCTGCCAGGTAAGGGGGTAAGGGGGTTTAGGGTGCTCCCCCCGCTCACTTGCCCTGCTCCCCCCGCTCACTTGCTCTGCTCCCCCACCCCAACTCCTCCCCTCCCCTTGCGCAGGTGCCAGTTTCTCCTGTCGCCAAGATGAAGATACTTTGCACAGGGAGCAGATGCGTTGCCAGCTGCTTGTGTGGCCGTCCCTGTTCATCCATGCGCGGGACATGAGAGAGAACAAGGGAGAGAAACAGAAGCAGGAGGAGGGAGCGCAGCGCCATGCCATGCCGCATGGCCCACCAAACCAGCCCCAGGTGCGTTGTGAGTCATTTGACCAATCCCCTCCTCTGTCCCCTTTGTTTTGAGTCATTTGACCAATCCCCTCCTCTCTCCTCTTTGTTTTGAGTCATTTGACCAATCCCCTCCTCTCTCCCCTCTGTTTTGAGTCATTTGACCAATCCCCTCCTCTCTCCTCTTTGTTTTGAGTCATTTGACCAATCCCCTCCTCTCTTCCCCCTGTTTTGAGTCATTTGACCAATCCCCTACTCTCTCCCCTCTGTTTTGAGTCATTTGACCAATCCCCTCCTCTCCCCTCTTTGTTTTGAGTCATTTGACCAATCCCCTCCTCTCTTCCCCCTGTTTTGAGTCATTTGACCAATCCCCTACTCTCTTCCCTCTGTTTTGAGTCATTTGACCAATCCCCTCATCTCTCCTATTCGTTTTGAGTCATTTAACCAATTCCCTCCTCTCTCCTCCTTGTTTCGAGTCATTTCACCAATTCCCTCCTCTCTCTCCTCTTTGTTTTGAGTCATTTGACCAATCCCCTCCTCTCTCCCCTCAGTTTTGAGTCATTTCACCAATCCCCTCCTCTCTCCTCTCTGTTTTGAGTCATTTGACCAATCCCCTCCTCTCTCCTATTTGTTTTGAGTCATTTGTCCAATCCCCTCCTCTCTCCTATTTGTTTTGAGTCATTTGACCAATCCCCTCCTCTCTCTCTGTTTTGAGTCATTTCACCTATCCCCTCCTCTCTCCTCTTTGTTTCGACTCATTTGACCAATCCCCTCCTCTCTCCCCTCAGTTTTGAGTCTTTTCACCAATCCCCTCCTCTCTCCTCTTTGTTTTGAGTCATTTGACCAATCCCCTCGTCTCTCCCCTCTGTTTTGAATCATTTGACCAATCCCCTCCTATCTCCCCTCTGTTCTGAGTCATTTGACCAATCCCCTCTTCTCTCCCCTCTGTTTTGAGCCATTTGACCAATCCCCTCCTCTCTCTCTGTTTTGAGTCATTTCACCTATCCCCTCCTCTCTCCTCTTTGTTTCGACTCATTTGACCAATCCCCTCCTCTCTCCCCTCAGTTTTGAGTCTTTTCACCAATCCCCTCCTCTCTCCTCTTTGTTTTGAGTCATTTGACCAATCCCCTCCTCTCTCCCCTCTGTTTCGAGTCATTTGACCAATGCCTCATCTCCCCTCCCCTCCCCTCTCCTCCCTCCCTCCCTCCCTCCCTCCCTCCCTCCCTCCCCGTGTTTCAGCAGCTGCCAGCGGGGCGTGACAGTGCAGCACGGGGTGGGGCAAGCTGACGCGCACGCCCACGTGGTAAGAGTGAACCAGAACGATGCATTGATGTATGAACACAAAAGCAAAACAATGTACTAGGGCACATAAAAATCATGTGCCTTCTCATTCCCTCAAGGTGCCTTGCCGTTCCCTGCATGATGCCTTCTCATTCCTTGCATGATGCCATTTTCCTCCCCTTTCCAGCAGGTGCCAGTGCAAGGCATAATGTTTTGAGGTGTCACACTCAACACCTCCCCTCTGTCCTCCCGTTTCCAGCAGGTGCCAGTGTAGCGCATGTTGATTGAAGAGGTCTCACTCACCCCGTCCCCTCTTTCCATCCCAATATTTCCTGTTTGTTTGTTTGTCTGTTTCAGTTTGTTTTGCTTGCTTGTTTGTTGTTCCTGTGTGCATTCTTTGCTCAAGGGGAGACGTCCAAGCCACCCTCTCCCCTCCCCTTTCTGCCAGCTGCCAGTGCAGCGCCTGCCCATTTGAGCTTGTCTCACCCACCCCCTCCCCTCTTTTCCCACTTTACCCCTTCTGCCAGGTGCCTTCTCATGCCCTGCAAGGTGCCTTCGCATGTTGCACGGTGCCTTCACATGCCCTGCATGGTGCCTGTTCATGCCCTGGCTGGTGGGTTGCATTCCCTGCATGGTGACTTTCATTTCCTGCCAGGTAAGGGGGTAAGGGGGTTTAGGGTGCTCCCCCCGCTCACTTGCCCTGCTCCCCCCGCTCACTTGCTCTGCTCCCCCACCCCAACTCCTCCCCTCCCCTTGCGCAGGTGCCAGTTTCTCCTGTCGCCAAGATGAAGATACTTTGCACAGGGAGCAGATGCGTTGCCAGCTGCTTGTGCGGCCGTCCCTCATCATCCATGCGCGGGACATGAGAGAGAACAAGGGAGAGAAACAGAAGCAGGAGGAGGGAGCGCAGCGCCATGCCATGCTGCATGGCCCACCAAACCGGCCCCAGGTGCGTTGTGAGTCGCCCCAGAGCATGCACTGCACACCTTGCCATATCCCTCACACCTGCCATCCCACCATGCCCTCACACCTCCTGCCATCCCCTCACTTGCCCTGCTCCCCCCGCTCACTTGCTCCGCTTCCCCTCTCCCCCACCCCAACTCCCCCCCTCCCCTTGCGCAGGTGCCAGCTTCCCTCCTGTCGCCAAGACGAAGACACTTGGCTTGCAATGTGTAGAGTGGTAGGGATTGATGAATCTGATTACGTTAGGAACATAAATGTATGAGCCTGTTATTATATGTGCAGGGGGATGGGGGGAGTGCAGGTTTGGTTTGGGCCAGGTTTGGGATATGAAAGAGTGGCAGAAACGGAAACAGGGAGTAGATGTGTTGCCACCTGCTTGTGTTCAGCCATGCGCAGGGCAGGACATGAGGGAGAAGAAGAGAGAGAAACAGACGCACAAGGAGGGAGCGCATGTGCCATTTTCTTCTGTCTACAACACGAGGCTATTTGCTACGACGCGTAGAGTGATAGATGACTTAGCGAATATGAATGTATGTGCTTGTTCTTATATACGCAGGCGGGCAGAGAAAGGGGGGAGGGGTGAGGGAAAAGGGAGGGGAGTGGGGAGCAGAAGCAGAACAGAAGAGGGAGTGGTGGATGAGCTCCTGGCTCTCTGTGCTGTGCGCCCCTCCCTGGTTGGCCATGCCATGCCATGCCATGCCATGCCATGCCATGCCATGCCCGGGAGGGATATGATAGATAGGAAGCACAAAGTAGAAGCAGAAGCAGGAATGTGATATGACAGGGAGCAGATATGCATGGGCCATGCCCAGGGATGTCCAGGGCGGTTCGAGGGGGGCTGTGAGGGGCTGTGAGGAGAATTGGGGGGTAGGGGGGCCTTAGGGGGGCCTTGGGGGGGCTGTGGGGGGTTTTTTTCAGGATTTTAGGGGGGTTTTCCCCTCTCTTGTACCCCATCTCTGCTTATCAATCAATCACAAACAAGCTTTCTGCCATCACCCTTCCGATTACGCTCATGTTGTCGCCTTGCCACCTGAGGGAGGGGGATCCAGATGATCCAGGTGGTCCGGGGCCGTCCTCCTGAAATACGTATGTCAAG